TAACAAGAGATAAGTGATACATCATGGGTAAGTCAGTCAGTCAGTGTAATAAATGATGTTACATTGTATGGTTTCATCAATAGAGGAGTGGACCATCTTGGGGAAGGGGGATCTAACCATTTCCCCAAAATACCTGATCTGAATATTAATTTCAGTGAAACAGAATCTTGTTTACCAGTATATAGTAGTTCTTGTATTATAAAACTAAAACATATGAAAAAACAAGGTTGGGCCTTTTGGGAAAAAGTAATATTATTGTCATTTGCACAAGAGTAAAATTTGGAAAATACAAACAAAAAAGCAAATTTAAAAGCATTTCGACCATGTGCCAAGTATTAGAATAATGTTATTATACTCCATAAGTGTAAAGATTTGAATACAATATTCCCATTGGGCACTAAAGGATAGGCCAAGGATATTCCTGAGAGTGAGCTTACTTCAACCCTATAATGTGCAGGAACAAGCTAAATGAGAATCCCAGGATCACAATGTACTTCTAAAGGTCTGTTAAGGTGAGAACTCAAGTGTAACCAGAAGGCTAAAGCTGAGTTTGACACATGGAGATGAAATCTTATGTTGGGTATGATTTTTAAATTCAAAGAGAATAAATGGGAGATACTGAAAATGTACATATACAGACATGAAATCAATTCTCCAAATTGTATAGCTAATGTGTTATGAAGAAAAGTGGCAATGTTTAAAGTCCCCATCTAAAGTTTGAAAATATTTTTTTATTATTCATTTAAATGATTCTAAATGATAATGACCCTATTATTTTATAGGAACCTGTAGATTGTAATGCAGTACTTGAGTATCAAACCAACTTACAATGTTGTATCTCTTATAATTAAAATATAAACATGCACCAACAATGAAACAGTTTGAATGAAATGTTGCAAAAAGTATCATTTCTGCAAATATAACATCAATTTGAATGCTCATACTTTAAAAATGAGATCAAAGTTTGCCTTATTTTATAAACCTCTTGTATTTCAAGTGTGAACATCATTTTCTTTATTATTTTTCCTCAATATGCCTCGAGATCTTGTCATTGAAAAATTAAAGTTTCAAGAAATGATCCAACATTGTATAGCCACAACAAGGACAAAGAGGCCACTTAGTACAAAAACTGGTGATGTATAAAGCTGTCATAACAACATTCTTAGAAATAGTATTCATTGAGTTATGTTTTTTGTATTTGAGCCATTGAAATCTCGAGATCCATACGCTCAATTTTTCATAATTTCTATCACATTTACTCAATAGAGGTGCCAAATTTATTCATTTTTAATCACTTTGACAAGAGTGAAAAATCCCCAGGATTCAATTGTATTAAAACAGAGAGAAAACATGACAATACAAAGTTTCTGAATGAAGTGTTCATAATAAGGAGCAATTACAGACCAACATTTATCCAAAACTATATGTGCAACAACACGAGACAACAGGTGGAAAAATGTAAAAAAAGGAAATAATATGCCAATAATATCTAGGATTATTATATACTTGACAGTATACATGACATCCAACATGACTTTCTCATTGAGGTGACTGTAATAAAGGCAGCACATGAAATGTTACTTTCATTGAAGCAGAATCATCAAGCTAGGCCCTTTCTGGCCAATTTTGGCCATAACAGAGACTATTACAGACAGAATTGGCAAAGTGGGGATCTCTATTTTAGGGCATGAATTTTTCATTGACTGATAGCATGATGCTACAATTTCATGAACAGGAAATGTGTTTTTTACATTTACCTCTGAATGACCAGAGACTCTCAATAAGCTCCTACTGTTATCAAAGTAAGCAAACCAAAAAGAAAATGTCACCATGGTCATGGTTTCAAATGAAAAATATGGTGAAAAAGAATGAAATCTGAAAATAATCAACCAAATAGATGTGTAGTTAGTACTCTAAATTGTACATAAATGTATAAAAATCAAGAGTTTGTGGACATTTTAGAGAGAAATGCCATGAAATAAACACAAATAAAAAGAATTTAGATACAAGGTCAACAGGATGATCTCAAGCAAGTAAACCTACCATTAACACCACAGGCCTCCAAATTAAACATTACTTTCACAAGTCCAATTGCAAAAAACATTTCTGACCATTATAGGTAGATATAGGGTAAACCAGGATATAGCAATTTAGTCCAATTAGTAGGATCCTTTTAACTCATTTTCTTTTTTGCATGTGGTCTCAGTTTTGTTGGTTTTGTTGTGAAATAGCCTTCATGTGGGGTAGTTTGGACAGCAGACCTTGGAGACTGAAATATGTACTATAACCCATAAGGTTTTCCAGGTGGTCGTGGAGTTTGTGAATGGAACTGAACAAGTAAGGTGTTCACTTGCATCGACTCAGATGTTCAGATGCTGATTCTGTGTACTGTTAATAGCATTTCATATTTCTGTCAGGTCTTTTGATTTATTGATTGTGATTGTAAATTCAAATCAAGCAAACAAGTCACAACCAAAAAACAAGTTTCAGTGCAGACTTGTTGGAAATCCAGAATGTATTAATATAATAGTCATTTTGCATTTTTTATATATGCCCTTTCAACCTCTCCATGTTATGAATAGCTTTAGTGTGATTTTTTCTTGTTTTATGTTTGTGTTTGTTTGATAGAGTTTCCTCATTTTTCATGGCCTGACAGCCCAGCAGGTCCAGAATTTAGACTTATATGATGTCCAGGCTTAACATTGAGTTCTTCCCAGCCTTGGCTACAGGAAACAACATCTACATAAGTTACTGAAATTCTCATTCTCTACCCCCTCACTCTTCCTTAAGCCCTCCATCATGGCCTGCGTTTGTTACATGTCATGGAGAGAGTTAATAATATGATCAAACTTCAAATAAACATGTTATTTATTATTATAAATGAATGAAAAAACTCTTATTTTTTAAGACTTACTTTAGATGCTGAGATAAAAACAAACAATAAATTCATTGTAACATCACTAACAAGACATCCAATGAGCCTTGGCTATATTTAGTCTATGCCAGTGTTTATTGGTGCTTTAATGGTGCCAAAGTGGGGGTGGTAAACATTTAAATAACAACAACTTGTCTATCTGGACCAATCTACCCACCTGGGATTTACTTTTTGTTACAAAATAGAACAATTTCGAATCTGTTCCATTTTTTCCGTTTTAAATAATTTGAGCAACAGTTTTATTAGTTAAGTAACTCTCAGATATACCAGACCTCCTACATATAATGCAGAAAATCACACAGTATAAACACATTTTGACTCAACTGTCCAAAGCAATTTGACAAAAATAGCAAAAAATAAATCATAGCCTAACAACCAAAGATAAACAAATCTATATAAAGAACTAGGCACAAAGCAACGTATAGCCCCCAACCTAAAATCTATCAAAATATGGACACCTTTTTTAAAAATAGTCGTGTTACGCTTATTAGTTCTGAGTGAGAATATTAGTCAGGTACCTCCAAACTGAGGGATTAAAGAGATAGCATATCATACTGTAATTGTAACAAGCTGACGAAACAACCCCCTACATTCAAAATGTTTCCTACCTATGTCTATAATTTCTCTCAGACATGCCTTTCTAATATAAAATTTCTCTCAAAAATTTAATGAATTTTTCAAATTTTTCAGCATTTCTCTATCATTTGGAATATGAAATTCATGCCTGTTTTTTCATACATACCTTACTCAACTTTGTAAAACTTTATTTTCAATTTTAAAGCATGATCCATTGACTTTTCTCACATGGTCACAAACATTAGGAACATATTGGTTGAGTTTCTAGGTTGATTTAGTATACACACTGAGACATATGGCAATGTTAATGTAAATGATAATAAGGCACAGCAATTAGGTGTTGTGCTCTATGCTGTAGATGAGACAGATGCTAAAGATATCATTATTTTTCAGTTTAGATGCCTATGCATTAAAAGATATCCACACATGGCTAGGCAAGATATATCAAACTCATCAAAAGTCTGGAAACAAGACATCCGTTGTTTAAACATCCTATATTTCATTGAGTACTGGGCTAAAATCCAAGTTTCGATGGTGCATGGAATATCAATGGTCTGTTTCAGTGATACATAGGACATCATGATTTCATCAATGCATGCAAAATCATTTCTCAATTTCAATGCTTATAACGCAGTATGAGACATCATGCCTTGGAAAACAGTAACCTACGTCTGCATAAGTAAAACATACAAATATATTTTCTTAGTTGCACAGGTTATGAACCATAATACACAGAAGCGTGGTTCTGCTGCAAAATGATCCGATCCCCCTGTGAGCTTCTAGGCTTAGTTTCAACATAATGACATATCCATAATATATAACTCAATTTAGTATATCAAGTCATTATGGGGCTCCAAGATTGAAAGCACCTGCAACCTTGATAAATACCAGGAAAGTCAACTAAAAGCAAGCAAAAGTCATTAATTTCAATATTTATATTATTTTTTCTACCTGGTTGGTATCATCTGTGTGAATCACCTGGCCATTAGGAGATAAATGCTGAAACGAAAGTATCTCACCTGAAAATCATATCACACATACAGTAAAACCTTCTAGGATGAACACCATGAAACTAACTAGAAGAACTTGGCATTCAACGTGTCTATTTTACTTACCAATCTAAATGATGTAAAATAGCTATTCAAATCTCTCAGTGTTCAACTTCATAGGTTGTACTGTTACTACTGTAAAATTTGATTACAATAGAAATTGTCCCTATAATCCGGAAACATAATTTACAGGTGAACTGTTTCTGGTAGACATATCAGACATATTTATTAAACAACTTAGACAGATGATCAAACTTGAGTATAAATATTTAAGGATTATGTCTCAATCTTGGCAAATAGGAGCAATGCAAAATGCCTGAATTTGGAACATGTTAGAACTTAATATGCCAAAATAATAGTGATTACAGGTTAATTGGGGGAAACATTATAACAATACACACCGGGACTGCATGAATGAAGATTGATAAATTTGTGAATACCTGTTCCTTGTTGCGTGACATATGATTAGACTGCAGCCGGCGCAATAGAGGGACCCCATTACGAGATTGCCGTTTCAGCGTCCAATAGCTCAACAATCGTTGGATAAATGCCTGCTTCTTTGGTAGGCTGATCGCAGAACTGATTTTGGATACCCTGAAATCAATATTAAGAATAGTTTTATAATGATGGTATGTGGATTCTGTCATAAAACAATATTTCCCTAATTTGATACCATAATATCATACTATAATATCATACCATAAAATTGTTTAATAATGATATGTTGCAGAGTTCTAAACAGGAGTTTTTCTCAGGTGGGTGCAAAATTTTCATTTTCATTATTCAAACCAAAATTGGTCAAAATATGCTGATTTTCATGATTTTTCAAGTGGGTGCAATCAAATTTTCAGGTGGGTGCAAGCCTATCTTTAAAATCTCAGGTGGGTGCTGTACCCACTTACTTTAATGCTGGGTACATCGCTATGTTGTATATGTATTTTGTCATTGAATCATGAATATTTAGCAGTTAAAATATAGCTTAGAGAATGTAAGAATGATCACTTTGAGATTCTAATATCTTGCACTTTAAGCCTTAAAAATAAACATGTCAATCAAAGACATGCCAGCCATATCACATACAATACAGAATATTTGTATGACGGAAACCTCCAAAGTTCATCATCAAAAAGTTAGGGAAGATGAAGCTTTGCACAATCATTAGGATAATTACAGACTTCTACATACATAAAACATTGGAAACCCAAATTAAATTCACTTCAAAGAATCAAGTAAGTGGTAAGAAAATGAATAGATGAAACAGTATCATTATAATTTCAAAACATTTTCAATACTTAAAATTAGTATTTTTCACATGTTCAGTGCAACGAAATATGATTCGTTTGAAGAACTTGTTTTCATGTAAAATATCTGAGATAATTAGAAACTAATGTGATTTAGCAGACCATTAAAAAAGAAAGAGTATAGAGGTTCTGAAAGAGACTGGGTCTTAGCGACCCAAGACTGTCAGTACTTATCAGTACGAAGTATGTCAAAGATTTACCAAATTCATTTTTGATTTCTGTATGAAGTATACCTTATGTCAAGTACTGCACACTTGAAAAACTGAAATTACTTGATACATGTTTTTAAAAGTGAGAATACAGTTTATGAGCTCAATTTCAAATTACACATTGATGAATTGGCTATGTATTTTATCTTTGTTGGCTGGCAAGAATCATTTTTAAACAACAAATAAATGTGCATGTACATCAAAGGTCAGCAGATTTGACCGTGCCAGAAACATAACTTTCTCTCATAATCGTCAGACAAGTTGGCAAGGCTTGATCACTGTACCAATCTTGCACCAGTCTTAACTGTTAATGGTTAAGAGGATAGATAGTTTGACAATTTTAGGAAATATTTTGCTGGAAAGAGTTTGCATTGTACTCGGGTACTAGACCATTCAGAAGAAGACCTGTAGCAGTGTAGCATGCCAACAAAAGTACATGGGGCCAGACAAAAATGTTCATTCACAAATAGTTCATAAAATATAGTTAAATGATTTAACTCAACTTTAGTCAAAAAGGCAACGTATACCTAATTGAAAAACGAGAGTGATAAGATTACTTCTTATGATTTAAAAACAGTCCTAAAATATAAGAACGCAGACAATGCCATGTGATAAAAACAAACAAGATAACTATAAAGTCTTAAAATGGAATAAAAGGAGGGACACAAAAATGAATATTTATGTGTGGATATGTTAATCAACTGCTCCAGAATAAGAATTGATGATATGATGCGTTCATTAGACTGTACTCATTAAGGCACAGGTGACAGGTAATGTTTGAATTATGACATTAGGGCCAAAGTGGGGCATATGTTATGTTAAATACAGGTTAATATATTACTCCTAGCGTCAAAAAGTACCTCAACACAAAAAAAGTTAATCATTTTGATTGCAAAATTATTTGTTTTTTAATTATTTTTTTTCAAGGAAAATGTACAGTGTTAAAAAATATGAGTAAATTTGAAATGTACAAGAAATAACAACGAGCCTGTGAACAGGTTATAATAAAAAGGGAAGTAGAAAAGAGAATTATATTGTGCAGGCCTTATTTTATGATAAACATAGAACATGGGGTGTTCAGGGCACGGCATTTTTCAAGATCAGGCCATTGTCATGCTATCTCTACAATCATAAAAATATGTATGTATTCACACCCACACACACCCTCTAAACATTAAATGCATATGTAATGGTATAAAAGGGGAAACAGTTGTCCAGATGAAAGGTGTATTTGGGAGTACCAGGCATCGGGCAGGCGAGGAATGTTATACAATATGTCAGCTTATCTCACTTGGTCAGCACCCTTTTACTGTGCCAGCTACACTAAATGGACTTTTTTCATATGGAGTATAGGATAATCTGACTGGTTTCAAAGCATCTTATACAGTGTTGTCTATATATAATGAAGTTATCAAGATATTCATGAATCTAATCCATTGAACCATTTTAAGCCATGACATAATATTTGTATATCAATGATTAAAAACCAAGATACTTGTATTTTTTTGGGGCATGTAAATAACTTAGATCTAACCCAAATCCAGTTCAATAATTAGCGCAAGTAAAAGTTATAAAGAGGCACTTAGGTGCTGTACATGACTTAACATTGTAAAATATATCTTAAAAATGTGTTACTCTGACCTATTGGGTCCACATGTTGAAGTAGCAGTAGGCGAAGAAGACATTCTAGGTCTAAGATCAGACAAAATGTGTTGAGTTATAACCAAGAGGGCTGTGTCACTTTATACACCACCCTAATCATTTAACATTAGAATCAATTAACATATAATCACTAGCTCAGGTGTATAATCATGGTATTCCTGTAAATACAGTAAAACCTGTATATGATATATAAAGTGCATAAAGTGTTCAATGTGGGAAAGTGTTCACAATTGAGAAGAATTGGTTGAATGTGGATTAAACAAGAATGTTTGGGAAAAGATGTTCAAGAGAGAAAGGTGTTCAAAGCAAGTGTTCAAATTTGGGAGGTTTCATTGTACATGTACTCGTATGACATTGTAAGGTAAGTTTATTGAAAACATATTATTTTCTCTAAATACACAGGATCAATGGATTATCATTATAAGGATGTTTGATCAAGATATTTGGACAATTTTGGATCATATTGACATAATGTGCAGAAATTGTATGTTTTTGTTTTTATGAATGAAATCAGTTTAAAGTGACCAGAAAACAGGAATGGTACTTGAGAAAACAGGACGTCATATTACCTGAACAAACGTATTTATTTTGGTCAACTCCTCATCTCTCCAAAATTATGTCATATGACGTGATATGACATGCCATATAAAGGAAGTCAAAATCATAACAGAAAATTCAATGATAAAGTAAAATTGAAGTTCAGATCCTATCAAATAAACAAAAATATTTAAAAAAAATGAAAAATAAACATCTATCATTGTGTAGATGTTAACTCTATCTAAAGACTTGACAATTTTGCCTCAACCCATAAAAGAATCTGTACTACAATATATTGTACTATACATGTACATTGTATATAAACATGTAGATGTGCTAAATGCAAAAAAACTGACAAAGACTCAAGTGTGTACAATGTTGTATGACATCACAAGTCATAAATATTATGTGCCAAAGTGTTGTTCAATGGATGAAATCAAATATAAAATTAAAAAAAGACCAAATGTATTACTACTTTAGCACGAGACGAAATCAACATAAAATAGTGATTCTATCTATCTTTGGGGAAACATATTTTTTAAGATTAATGAATATGAAGTCAAAAATCTTATCAGGTAAGATTTTATAGCAGTAATCAACTTGTAAATCTGGTTTTAACAAAATCAGGTGAAGAAATGTGGTTTGAAAAACATGGGTGGTCACAACCTAAATATGTCTTCGAGATAGTAGCAAGAAATTGTTAAGTAAAGAACTGCATAAGTAGCTGATAGGGCATAGAAAATAAGAAAGGTAGGGTACCTGAAAAGGTAAGCGTAAACTATGAGTCTGGAAATGATAAGGAATTTTATAGTCTTAAAGGTTGTTTCATGGTCAATATTTCTCAAGATAAGGAAGGTACAGTGGGTTCATATTGCATAAGGATAAATAGGTAAAAATGAGAATCTACCTGTATCTGTATTATTAACCATATCAATGTTATCTCTTTGTATTTTATGTATGTTGACCATGACATTGCCAAGAGGTCTACCTATAGTCCATGTCATATCACACTTTCATCTTAGTTTCATCTCAGGATCAATCATTATTGAACTTAAACAATTTTGTCAAAATGTTATACTTTGTAAAATTAGAGGCGGGTCTTGATTTTAACAAGATACTACAAAATACAAATAATCAGACATACCCGTAAAGTTTTTCAACTTTAAGATGTGCCAGACAGTTTATGGGGATTGTGAAAACAGTGGTAATACCTGGTGTGATTAAGGTGACATAGAAATTATATGATATATATTTTTTGTGAATTGATGTAAAATTGAGAATTTATTGAGAAGATGACAAATGTCTCAGACTCGTACTTCAGACATTGATAAAAGGACGCAATGACACGAAACATGCAATTTTTAATATTTCCAACACACCGATAAATGACACTAAGTTCAACCATGGAGATGCAGTAATAATTTATCAACAAATTACTGGAATTTCTTGAGCTGTAAATATTTACATTTTTACAATTATTTTCAGGAGAGGTCTAAGCAAGAATACAGATGAGGTCTTTACGTTGATGTATTGAAGACATGGAAATGTCACGGCAGCCACTGAAGATGACACGGCAGCCAACGAGGAAGACCACGCAATGCATCTTCCTGCTAATGGTTCTGGTCTTTATTGATGCAGTCAAGTCAAAAATACCAGGTATGCATAATTGCATGTGAAATACAGTAAAATTCTCCAATCCGAACATTAACATCTTTGGCAGATTATAAAATGGGACAAAGGAGAGTTTTTATGTAGAGACCCTCTACTAGAGAGCTATTCAGATTAGAGAGGTGTTCCAATATACAGGTTTTATTTATTATCAGGGACCTTGTAACTTACTTTTCTAAGCTCTTCACTTTCAATCAAATAACAGCAGTAAGAAAACATTGAATTAACTTCAGAAAACATACCTGGCCAGATCTTGCTTGGAAGGTGGTCAATTTTTTTACAGAGCATGCATGACCACACCATAAGTTTAGTTTCCCAGTGCTGTATGTTTACATTAATTAACAGATTGTGGGGGTTCAGTGTTTAAGTTATCCTGGTATCTAATCTGAGCAAAGGGTTTGATTAAAATGTTGATAACACATGCATTTCCATTCTTCATTGCTACATCTCGGGTACACTTCACTCAAACTTAAACAATGTGGTTCCTCAAGACATCAAATCAGACTATTTTAGGGGAATTACTCATGGTTTATTAAGATATATGCATGGGAAACCGTTTTTAATCATTGACGTGGTTCCATGAATAGAAACAATAGAGTTCTCAACGTTAAGTCATGCTTGACCGCAAGAGAAACTGCATTCAGAGGATGATGATTCATCATTGGAACACAAACCTATTGTTACTGTTAAAGGAACGACTTTGGTAAAAAAAGTCTCCCGTGCATTCTTATAGACCATGAACAATTCCCTAAACCACGTTATAACTATCATGCACATGTTCTCGGCAATAAATATGGTAAGTACAAGGTTTGTTCAGATCATATTTAATATTTACCTCTCCTGTGGGATAACTGGCAATGACACGGCAGGGAGGGAGTTGCGTTTCTCCGCTAGAATCTTCCGCGCTTTTCTCATCTTCTGTTTGGACTTCAACTTTGCCTCTTTAGCAGAGACTGAGTCTTTATCTTCATTCTCATCTGCACTGTTAATCATGGGCTTGAATCTTGTGTCTGCTGGGGTGTGCACGTCACAATATGCTGTCTTCCTGACGCTGAAGCTTCCAGGGGAGAGACCAGGAGAGGTTGGATCACGGATTGGTTCAATTTTCATATAAAGTCCTGCTTGAGCAGCACATGTAACATGGAACGCTGTATAACAGTTGGTCTTGTGGCACTGTATACATGCCCCTACACTTCTCTGTTTACAAATGTAACATGTGAGCTTCCATCTTGCTGGGGGAATGTGAACAATACTGTCAATTGGCTCAAGAAACACTGTATTAGCAAAGCCTACCTCGGGGATCCAAAGGGAGCATATCACATGTGCCCACCTGTTGTCATCTGTTTGCTTGAAGGCGCCACCTTTATTTGGACATAAGCAGCAGTCAACTGCTCTCGAAGGACTCTGGAGACATCTCCGACAAAGCCATTGACCTTCAGGGATATATGGCACCCCATAACATTCTTGGTGGACTGCCAGATCACACATGTCACAAAACAGAATGACATTACTATTCTGACACTCTCCATCATTACAAATGCTACAAACAGCATCTTCATCTATGTTTGGGGCACTATCTTTACCATTTGTTTGACTTTGAAAAAATGCTTCTTTTTCAAATCTGTCCATCAAATGTTCAAATATCTCCTGGCTCACTATCATATTGTTGTCTTTGGTTCGCTTGTCGTTTATCAGTTCTAGCCATGCATAATCCTGGAAACATAAAAATATATATAAAAAGATTGTATTTTGCAAATAAAAAGACTGTATTTTGCAAGTTTTTTTCTGAAATTATATGTACCATTGATCTCCCTGATTTTCTCAACAGTGCTAACAATTAATTTAATATTTTTGGGCAAAATGCCTCAATATTTCATCTTTTTAACAGAAAAAATAGATTGCTTCAATTTATCAATGTAACTCATTAATACAGGCTGATCAATGTTGACCTTTTACTGTGAATTAGCCGATGCTGTCTAAAATGCTTAATTCTCTGTTTTTTTTTAACATTTATCAGTTTTTTATCACTTTCATTTGGCAAATTCGGATAATTTTCAATTTCGTTTTTTATTCCAAATTCTGATTCTGAAGATATAGTTTGATTCTAAATTCAATTTCAAATTGCTTGATGCCAAGATTTCTTGCTACTGCACCCTTTATAAAGGAATATTTCCAGAAATAAAAAATGTGCCAAATAAACTGTATAGGATATGTTCACATTCTAGTTTAATATTATATTGAATAATGATGCAATATAGGCAATGTGCATGTTGTTATAACAGAACAATGGATTTGCATTACACCTGCCATTTGACGGTTGTTATAGTTACCTCTAATCACAATACTTTTATATCAGGCTCTATCAGGCTCAATGAACAACGGCCACATATAACTTTGCCAGGAGATATTATTAAATACTGTCTTACATATATTTTCCAGTATGTATCAATAATATTGAGATGATACTTCATTTCTTTCCTAAATAACATTTTCATGCATTTTCGAAGTAAATAGTTCAACAATTTGTGATTGCATCTTATGATTGATTGCCATCAGAAAAATATAATTTGATTTCTTAGTGATAAAGAATTTCCCTTGATTGCTAATTTCATGGTCATTAAAGCAAACAGAAAAGTGACCAAATAAGATTATAAATCCAATTGTTTATTTGATCTTAAAATGTTGACTGAACTTATTTCAGGTAGTTGACCTGTCATGTTGGTTCTTTGAGCTTTTATGTTTGTTTTTCATCATCAGCTATGGCCTACAAATATAGGGTCAACTGGTGGCCACATTACTGGTCGAGCAAAGTTCAACAAAATGACATGAACTTGATATGGATGAAATCGAGTATGAACTCTATGTAGATTAATTACAATAATCAAAGTTCTACTATAACTTTTATATATTTTACCTCTTCATCCATGTCATACTCCACTTCTTCATCAAGCTCCTCTGCAGATTTCTCAATATATCTGTAGTAGGCTGAAGGCCTTGTGGGAGTCACAGGGGGACGGGCATAATCATCAAGGACTTTGAAGGAAGGTTCAGGGAGCTTAGCTGTTGGTTTATCTAGCCTGGGTTTCTGGCCATCTACGTGTTTAGCTTTCTGGGGTGACTTTGGGGGCTTAATTTCTTCTTTTACTTCGATTTCTTCAATTGCGTTATCATTGGTTATGATTTCTAGAGGTTCATAAATGTTAATACGATGGACACGACCTTCTAAATCTACTTCAACTAAACGCTGTGACTCTGCATAGGTAAGAGTCTCTCTCGCAGGGGTCCTCAAGAATTCAGGGGGAGTAGGTGATCTGCGCATTGATCGATGATGGAATTTTCCCTTCTTCCGACCAGGTTTTTTCCCTGTTGAGTTTGCGGGGCTGTTATTGTCTGGATTGTCGTGATCATAGTTATATAGATGAAACTGAATCCCACAGAAACTTTTGTACATCTTTTGACACCCTTTTACTGGACATTCATATGGGGGCTTTGTTGCCTTTAGATTTTGACAAAACAAAGATAAGTCAAATCCAAGGTTTTTGGGGCCTCTCCCAGTGTCTGGGCTTGCAGATCTATCCATCTTCTAATTCATTTGGCGACTCAAAAGTCTAAAATTGATCAGGTAAAATTTTGTTGTCAATGGGAGACCTCAGGTTGAACCCTATAAAACACAGAACAGTATTTAAAATTCAGTGTACACAAGTGCTATTTGTTAATACAATCTGCAAGGGTTTATAGCATGCTACACAAATGCTATCTAGCTAAATACATGACCTATTTCCTATTCCAACTGTGTAAATGAATGGTGCGCCGGTTTTCCAATATGGCGATTAGCGGGACATATAGCAAAATGTTTTGACGCTCATATCTCATTCCATAACACCCCAAATTCAATGAATTACACACCAAATTAAAGATCACCTTCTCTAGAATAAACCTGCATAGATATCATGAGGTAAATACGCGATATGAGTTCAAGCGAGGAGTGCAAATGTGGAGAACAAAGAACATCAACCGAAAACGTGCCGGACAAAGATACTTGTTGTTTCTAATCAATTATCAATCGTTCTAGTCTAAATTCACCTACCTTGGTAGTACAGTGGTAATCCAGATAATGATTTCTTCGTGTGATAGCGATTAATAGACTTAAATTCTTCTCATTATCGTTGAAATTAGGTAAACAATCGGACAATTTTGAACATCAACACACAAACCAAGCCTTTGCGCATATTTGTGCGCATTGATTACTTCCGGGTTTAGAAATTACTTTCGATTTTGATCCAAAACTTTAGCTCGATTTATACCTTTCTGAAGTTTTTTCATATTTATGCATTGTATATAATGTTTTTAACGACATACTCATTTCAACATTGGTGTGGCGCCAGCACTCTCCATTTCCCCTATTTACAATATTATTTTTAGAAATTCGTCTGCTGTTCACATGCCATTTCTGTTCAATGGGGAGATATGAATTTCAAGCTTATTTTCTACTTTATGTCTATCCTAGACAAGCAAGAGATCATACAACCACATACATAAGTAATGTGTATGAATGTTGTTTCTATTTAGTATACGGAGGAGAGAAAATGTCATATTTGTTGATTGTTTATATTGTATGGGGAATCTCTTTTAGGATATGGGGAATTCCCAACAAGAAACAGGGCATTCCTAGGGATTCCCGAGTAATTGTTTCTATTGATCTTTGATAAAAGATTGTGGATAAACGAACGTTCTCCCAAATGTATCTTAATTCTTAACCTATTTCCATCATAATATACTATATCATTTGAATATCAGTTTAAAACAGTGCTTGGACAACAACTATACCGGCTGTACCGCCGCTAATGCTAAGGTAGATTGTTTATCCCTTGCAAAATATTCCCAAAATATTCTGGATTAGGCTCGTTTGAAATTAAATAAAGTAGTACGGGGACGGGTATGCACTGCTGTCATGAGTTTCTCTTGATATCATCCCAATATTACAAATAAGTAATATTGCCAGTCAGAAATGAAGAAAATGTAGGTTTTCAATTTGAGAGCCGTGTACAATACATGTAGTGTATTGGCTGGGTAATATATAGTTGTCGTTAGATGGCAGTCAAGTCAAGCAAATTGAATTAGTCTTGCTCTGAGGTTTGAAGAGATAGGATCCAGGTTTGCTGCTTAGTGTTGGAAGGCTGAGAGAGAGGATTATACATGTCTATCGTTGCTTTGTGACGATGTGGTGGGTGTCTATGGTGTGTATAGTGCTAGTGGCGGGCAGGGGAGTGAGCCAGAGCACAGAACACCATCACTCTAGAGGTATTGTAAAAAACTTTGTCAACTTTTCAAAACTTTTTCACATGAATTGACATTTTCAATACAGTGGTCATACATGTGTTATTTTTTGGGATTGATTTTTATTGTAACTTTCATGCAAGTTTATATGTATTGCAAGTTATGTAGATCTGAATTAAACTCTTTGATACAAAATATATTACTTCTGTACATGTATTAATTTTGAGTTATGAGATAATTGCTCAATGGTTACTTACTGGTCAGGGCTTGAGCTTGAAGATGTCAGACATTTTTCATTTACAGTAAGTTATTCTAGTACACAAGAAATGTTGGGATTAACCCATTTCACCTTTCTATTTATCTATTCAACATGTTCAAAAACCAATGGATGAACAGCTTTTTGAAGTTCTGGGTTCTCTGTTGAAAGCCCATGGTTCTTGTAAAGGATACAAAACATGACACTTTTGTGTATAACTTTAAAAATTCACTGTTATATTGTAAGTTAAGTCAAACACACAGTGCATCTAATCTTTATTATCCACTATGATGTACAGGTAGTTGCACAGTTAAACCACCTAAGACTTACCACAGTGATATCTTATATTACATATATTTACATGTACTGTACATATATTCATATATACCAGTACATGTATACGGAAGTTAATACTTTCACTTAAATGTTTCTACTATTATACTGCCATTATTATTTTATTTTAAATGCAAGTTGATTATAATTTACAAAATAGACAAAATAGACAAAATGACATCTTTTCTCAGCTTTGTATCTGATTTTCTGATTTTGCTTGTTGTGATTTTTTATTTGGTGAAAGTATACATACTTATTGCTTTTGGATATCAAACTTTAAAGTTGAATCTTATGTCAAATTGACTTAATCATTATTAAGATCAGTGGATCTTAGATAGCAAGATCTAGGTCAAGATCCAATATTTGTTAACTTATGTTTTCAAGTGGTATACTGTAATTTGAAAGAGCCTTATGACCCTAGACATTCTTAAGTGATGTAATAGCCTGAACATTTTCATAAGTTGTATACATCTTCTTATATACTGTACGCCACAACAATGAAAAAAAAAATTTCTGGGTAGTGGAAGGAGGGGATAAATGGTCTCAAATTATTTTATTTTGAACTTGTTTTTGAAATACATGTGCTAATAAACATTATTATGTAATTTCAGCGTATGAGACAACAAAATTGCTCTCCAGTCTGAATGATTACAAGATAGTAGTTCCACAACGAATTAATGAAAATGGCGACTTCTCACATCATAAACATCATTTTCAAAAACGGAGTATACCTCAAAGTCCATTTGATGCATTTGAACACGTGGAAAATGATTTTCACAAAGTGGAGTATAACATCAGTATGGGAAATGAAACTTGGAACCTCAAGTTAAAACCATTCAAGGAGTTTATCACAGCAAATGTGGCCATGCAAAAATTGGAGAATAATGGAGAAACTGTACTGGAATACCCAAATGAGGATACTTCAGGGGTGTTGCATTGTTACTATGAAGGACATGTAAATGGTGATCTGGAGTCACAAGTAACACTCAGTATATGTCACAGCTTGGTAAGTAAACCCTAACTTGTTCTCTTTGTTGTTTTAAATTGAGATGTCTGACCATCTGATAGTAAAATCATAATCCTTTATTCAAGTTGGAGAAAAGCCAGGAAGGGTGAATGTCTATACATCCTACCACCATGCTAGATATGTTTAACTATACTAGAATTTATTACCTTGTCTATAGTAATATACCAATAATAAAGTAACTCAGCACAAAAACTTTATTGTACAAACTATAATAGAACAGTCATTTATTTTTCGTCAATGTCAAAGAGAGTACCCTGTTGGAGTTGAATATGCTCGTTTCTTTCCTCCGCTCACAATGGTAAAATGAAACATAAAAATAAACCCAGGTCAAATTAAAGAGTTAACTCATAGGTTTAGAGGCTATCAAAAGTGAGTTAATGTTTTTCACAAGATGAATTTCTTACCTCCAGTATTCTAGAGGGACTGTTTTGAGAATTACAAGTTTTTTATTTGGCTGATTATAGACATTGCAAGGGATATTCATCATGTTAAATTACATGCAGTAAAACCTCTGTGTGTGAGCACCTCTCTAAAGTAGACATGTTTTCACTTTTATTTAGATATACATGTACCATTATCTTTCAAAAAATGAAAAAAATCTTTCATGTTGTTCAGTTTCAGTTATTACTTTCAATTAATTTAAAAAAAGTTTTACTTTGGAATAAACTATTATTTTTAAACCTCTCTAGTAGACATACCTTTCCAATAATTGTTCCAAAATAGGATATACACCTGTATGTATCTTCCATTTCATGTAATCAGATTTCATGCCATCTTTCATGGTTTGCATGAATACTTAATTGTTCTAATGAACACTGTTTTCTTTTGACTCATAAGTGTTTATTTCATTTAGGTTTTATTGTGCCCTTGTTGATCAAGAGGCTGTCAAAGTGACACAATGAAAGGGGGAGGGTTAGTTAGGGTATTGTCCCTGCTTACGTCAGAGGATCCGGTCTTCATAAAAAGCCTGAATAAGGCTGGATAAGAGACCCTGGGGCCTAGCTAAATTCATTGAGGTGGTTTGAAACCCACCGCTGCTCTGAGAAAAAGTTATTGAAAAATTAGTTAATAAGCTATTGAAGTTATTTTGCCTTGGGGTATAAGTCAAAATGCTGATGTCTTGTAGTTGTGAAAAACATGAATTCATTTCGACATTTAGAAGGAGAAAGGAGACTAGAATTACTGCATAAACTGCTATTTAAAACCCTTTTCATGATATTTCTATTATAAAACCCGAAATGTGAGTTCAAAGGGAAAACGAAATAATTATGAATGAAAACTGAGAAATCGCACTGATTGTGACAGAATGCCAACTTACACAGTGAAAACTTGAAAAGTTGACAGTCTGATATTTGATTGTGAATATTGAGGGCTTTTAACACTGGAAAACTGTCAAGCAGACTAAAAAAACATTAGTTTAAAGCATATGTTTTAAAAACATTTTTTTGTGATAAATATAGGCCATGTAGTGCAAAGAATTGTCACATGCTCTTCATATTGGACAGCTAGTATATTTGATCAACTCTTTTAATTAATAGTAGGTTAATAATGTTAAATGATGAAATATGTATTGTATACTAAGACTAGAAAAATAAACAACATCACCTAGATTTTTGCAATTAAAATGATGATTGATGAACAAAAATCTTCAATTTTATTTTGTAGGCAAACATAGTGTGGCAAACATATATTCTGACGTCTTAAGTAATAATTTTCTTATACTATTTTCTTATTTGGCGACTTCTGTTACATTCAGAAATAAAGGACAGGTGGCGGTAAACCCCTCTTTTAGCCCACCTACAAAACAAGTATATATTGACATGGAATTAAAGAGGAAGTATGACTCATTACTTAAAATGTGATTTCTGAGAGTTTTGACATTTGACCTTGACACTAGGGTGGTTTAAAGGTCAACTTTGAGAGTTGCTATTTTTGTCAAAATTTTACTGTTTCTAATCCAAGAAATGAGAGCAATTGGCTTTATTTTGATTGTGACTGATAAAAAGACATGTGAATAGAAATAAATTTTTTTTAAATAAATTATCACGGGCAATTACCTGAAAATCTTGAGAATAAATACCGATATGGGCATTTTTAGGGGGACTAAATTTTCTCGTTTCAAAAATGATTGCTCTTGTTGCCTTTTGAGACTCTAACAGTATCCTAAGCATGTTTTAAGAGTTAAGATGTGATTATTATTTTAAATGCCCATGGGCAATTAGGATAAAATGACTGAAATTAAATGCACTCAAGGGCACTTCAAAAAGAATGGATTTTCTTATTTCAATTGCTTCTCGCCAGTTTTCTAAACATGTTTGCCATAATTATTCTAAATAGTTATAGGGTCAGTTTACTAAATGCCCATTGGCATTTGGCATTTTATTTGGCATTTGAAATTAAAATGTTTGAATGTACACTTACTTTTAAAGTTATTTGCCAATTTGCAGTTCCCATATTTGAAACACATATAATTCAGAGAAATCCTCTCTCAATATATATCATAAAATATAAGGCAGCATCATGTATGAATGGCATGACACTCAAAGGATTGCCTAAAATAATTTCTACTTATTCCCTATTTAGAAAAACACTTAGGCCATTCAAATATTTTCTTATAATAATGTCACTAAATTCTATGTTTTCAGAAAAAACAAAATGTCCCCATGTACTCTCTACTTGTAATGTATATAAATGACAAAGGGAATTGTGATCTTGGATTATATTGTAGCGAAATGAGTTCCAAGATTGATTAAAAACTAAATATATATAAACTTCATTAACAAGGTCATCTGAACTCAAGAGGTGTGTTACTTGCTAATTGGCACAATGTGTTATTGCATTTTCACTCTTAAATAATATATAAAACCCTTTAAATAAATGAAGGTTTTGTAGTTTTTAATTTAAGGCTCTTCATCAGAATGCCAACATATAATTAATTTTGGATGGCCTAATCTGTACATGTAGTTATGTAGTGTACATGTATGCCCATGTTAGCAGCCATATTGAAAACATAAACCAGTCAGGCTTATTTTCATCACAAAAGTTAAGTTTTAGTGGTGAGCCCAAACTCCCACAAAAATGATATTTGCAGAGAAGTTACTTTACAGTCTCTGCATTATACAGTTTCAATATATTTTTTGTGGGAGTGTGGGCTGACAGTTAATTTTTCAATGAAAGGGAATGAGCACCATGCTAAAACTTGATAACAAAGTGAACGAAAAATGACAATGTTTTCTAGATTTCCATAGGTAAACTACATACATCGCTTGATTTTGTCAATTTTTTTCTCCGAATACTTGTATGCCATATGTTCCATATATTAAATTCTACATCATGATAAGTTTTGATATTATTTTGTTGGTAAACATAATGTGTACCCATATTCAGACAGCCTTGTGATAGGGGTTCTTACTGCCAATTTTTCAAAGAAACTGAGAACTTATACCACTTTTTGAAATTGCACATCTCAAGAAGAAAGGTTTATCTACAACTTGCAATCGGTTTTAAAAGTAAATGGAAGAATGAGTTTTTCAGAAAAAGTCTAAGTGGACCAATAGTCTGTTAAATGGACCTGTTCTTTACTTTATAATATAATATTTCAAAATTTATTTCCGAGTTATCGCAGCCCCCTTTTCAACACCAACGAGTCAATTTGTCTATAAAACTTGACGACATAATTTCTGTTTGCACCTAGTCTTTAGACATACAACCAGGTGTGAACTCTAGTATTCGGGGGATATTAACAGTATTGACTCTTATTTGTTATTACAAGTAGCAGTTCTATTCTGACTTACCTGATAGAAGCCTCAGGGCAAGTATCATGAAAACCTACATGCTGTTTCAAGATATTGGGATTAAAGGCATACAAACACTCTTGTATTCTGGTATTAATCCCCCATGTTGATGTTACTCTCTTACATTCTCTGTTGAATATAGTACCTCATCCCCAATCCTCCAACCTTCCCCATTTTCATTTTATCACAGTTAATATTGATGAATATAGGACCCCTTCAATTTTAAATTTTTTTACTCCAATTGTTTATTTGAGAAGACCTGTCGAAAACTTAATTTCAGATTCAATAAGATTATGTTAAAGATATCAGATTTTCATATTTTTAAACTAAAGTTTCAATATCATACAAAAGCACTACATAGTTTTCAATTAGAACTTAAAAACTCACACCATTTATATTATCTTGAGACATCAGAAAATGTATGCCCTTTTAGCCCATCCAGACAGTTTTTTATGTACTTTTGGTTATTTTTTATTTATTTATGAATGATCTTACCAAAAGATCACTCCAATATCGCATCAGTGAGACAGCTCAATATATTTTTTAACTTTTTGAAATTGAAGTGAATCAGATTTTTTTGATGGACAGTTGGTGAATAACTTCTCATGACTTTGTATAGAACACCTGGTGGTCAAGGTAGTATCTTATTTCATACTTTCTAAATTGATAATTTTGAATTTTGAAATATGATCATATATTTTTCCAGGGTCATAGGAAAATGACATACTTGAGATTTTATCTTGTTATATAGGATCTATAGATTCCAGTCTTATTTTATACAAGTACCTTCACAGTCAAACCTACCCTGATCCTGCTACCCACTCCTATGACTCTCTGATTTAACTTATGATTTCATCGTTTTGATTCTGACATGATCTTAAATCTCATGTAGCTTATATGGAATTTAATGGTAGTTTGAATATAAAATGAATGTAAAAGATTAAATTGGAATATACTTAAAGTGAGTTTTGCTATATTATTCTAAATACTAAATACATTTAGATGAAAGATGTATGTCTCATAAAGAGTGTCAACAGTTCAGTTCTTGCAAAGGTTAGATAGTACCTTTGATATCACAGACTTTATAATATGTTTCTCTTATATATAAATACAGATATTATAACTGAAATCAAATGTATAATAATATATAACACAAATATAGCATTTACACTTGTTTCAACTTTC